GAAGGGACGGAATGTCAGACTATGATTAAAACAGGCAGAACAAACACTTAACAAAAAAGGGATACTTACGGGCGAAATTCTAACTCTTAGGGAATTCGCGCGCGTTGGCCATCACGTCCCCGGTCTTGACGAAAATGTAGTTGATCCATAATTGGTGATTTGCCTTGTTGTCCATCTTCACCACCAAGCATTTACTTCCTCCGTGGCGAAAGTGCAACATTGTCCCCCTATAGAACTCGGGGTGAAGAGATGCATCGGGTGGCGGAGTATGACCCCGACCCCGGCCAATTCCGCATATTTCGTCTATATGCGGATAAGCTTGTAGATATATGGAGAGAGTTGGGCCGGGCAAACGCCGTAATAGCGGCAAAATTCCTCCGCCAATGGGAGGAGAGAAAAGAAATAACCAACGTAGAAAAGATACGCATAGAACGCGCAATATCCGGGGCGGTGTATCTATACCACATCGTGCCCCGCTGGGATTATATCGACATGGGCAGGAATTTTGAACTTTGCTCTAAGCTCAGCCAGATCGACCTCTTTCATCGCTGATTCCGAGACCTCAGGGTCGTCCTCTGGCATCTTCGAAAAGTCGGACCTAACTTTTTCACTACAAGGGATTATTTCCTCCACCGTAGGAAAGTTCTCGTCTTCAATAGCAAAAGAAACATTATCGCCATGAGGAGGCATACGCACCGCCAAAGGGATAGGGTCAATTGCTATACCGGAACCAGAGGGTGCGTTAACCATATTTTCGAGAGAAGATGTTTCAAGTATAGTAGTGTTGGAAGCAACTGGAATCACCAGAATAAGGAGAGTGGATACGCGATAACGAATGAAAAACAAGACAAGGATTCAATATGAAGAATAGAGAAGAAGACACATAGATTCAATATTAAGAATATGCAAAACACAAATGAATGGTCTCATGTCCTTATTTATAAGAGTTCAAGCGTGAGGACCAAGAAATCAGACCATCATTACCCAGTGCAGGTATCGAAACGGCAAAGGCATGGTAAACGTCGCAAAGCATTGGGAAAACACGCCATAATGACGCATGATGTCATGACGTCATTCTGAAACAATGTGACCCCAAAGGTTGCGGTTCACAAAAGGTCATGTTGTCACCTCATTTGAAGCGCCACTACTCGACTTGCTCGCCCAATTTTACCAACTACGATAAACATAGTCTGCTCATCAAGGCCATCTGGAGTCGGCCTTAATAAGCAGAAGGACTAACTGTATAAGCCAAAATCTGCCCTAAGGATATTTAGCGTAATACAACATTAAGAAAAGAGTCGGTCGAGCTCGACCAGGGAGAAGCAAGATTCGTGGTTGGGATGTCAACCACGACCGGGGTCGAGCATCGTGTAAAGAACAGTAACGTCTAGTTTTCAAAATAGAATATTAGAGAGAATATTCTGCACTTGTACTTTCAGGGTTTGCTAGGGATATGTGTCAAAGATATAAGTGAAAACGAAAAGATAATAGAGTCATGTAATATTCATTGGATAAGAACACTTTTTGAAAGGAAGATTCTCTGTCTTGTAAAAATACAAAGATCTACTTTTTATCAAGATTCTTGCTCCTACTATTCCACACCTTTCCGCCAGATCCGAGGATTGATCAAAGCAAATTTCAAATCTATCTGTCATTCATCATTGTCAGGAGAAACATTCGTCCAATCCATCCATTATTTGGTGAATCATTCATCCTCTTTACTTAAATGCCATTTATTATTATTTATTGCTAGTTACATCTCCGTTATTATTCACACTTTAAGAATATTTTGTATTTATTATGATCAACCTTTTATGAGATCTGTCCCCATCTCCCACACGTTTTACATATTTGAATCTAGAATTATTATCTTTAATTAGATTTAACCCATTATAACTTAAATTTAATAATTTAGCCGAAAGTTACACTTTTTGGTCAAACAACAATATCTTTATATTTAGCAAGATCGAGTAAGGCCTTTCACTCTGCCAATTATATCACATTCCTTCCTTTTTATGGGCAATAGTTTTTAACTCGGTCACAAACGTTTTCTAGCGGTGTATTTCTTTTCGCAAATGATCAGTTTTACTCCTCTACTTGTAACTTTTTTCCTTAGACTAGATTGTGCAATTGTTTGTAGATTTTCTCCAATGCTTCTCATGTTTTAGTAATAAATCTTTTATGACAAATCATGAAAAAATTTAAACACATTGAAAAGACTTTACACATGTTGAAAAAAGATAGACATTACATTACTCATGCAATTAATCAACTCTTGGTTTTATAGCATGGTCAAAATTTTGTAGTAATTTGGACCATATTTGATCCAATTTTATATTAATTTGAACCATAATCCACTAAAATTGGGTTCGGATCTCCAATTCCCGTGGGAAAGAAGATTAGTAACATATTTTCTACCAAATATGTATAAAACTTTTATATTTTAAAAGAACAAAATTGCCCTCCATACAAGTCATGCTAATGCATCAACAATGTTAGCTACTCTAAAGGCGTACATTAACTTTACGTCCAATCGATTTTATAAGAGTGTCGTGCAATTAAAGATTTGTGTTTAGCATTTACTAGGGGAGGGGGAGGGGAATTAATATCACTAGACGAATTAAGTTTAATTACAACAATTAAAGCATCAATTTGCAATTTAATTTTTTTGTAACACAGTTCAAAAGCAAGTCAACATGTCTCTAGTAGCACAAATTTCGTTCAAGCTAAGAGTTATGTAGTGGCAACAAGATGAGTAGCTTTGTGGTTTTAAATTTTAATTCAATACGTATCTGTATTCTGCAACATAACATAATGTCAATTATAAGTGAGGAGGAACCTATTTCATATTTCAGTTAAGTTTGCGATTAAACATTACGGTGGACGGCCCATATCGTGGTTAAATTTGGCCCAACCCAAAAAGATGAACAATTGGTAAAGGTAAAAATTTAAAAAGAGATGACATACAAATATTAGGGTTTGCGAGGTATATAGCCAAGGGCGGCTCCATAAAATTAGTGGTCTAAAGCCAATTTTTAATAAGATCGCCTTATACTTTTTTATTAGTACGTATACACACATATATGCAAAAAAATTAATCTTGCCCTTTTTTTTCTTCCATACTTGTTGTTTATAGTATATATTCTTAAATGACATAAAGTCTTTAACTTCGTATAGTAATATTATTATTTATATTAAAAAATAATAATTTAAATAATGAGATGTTAGACATGTATTTGCGTTACCTTTGATATTGTTGTAAAAAATATATTTACTAATATGAAGATTTAAGTAGTTTAATTCAAAGTTTTAAAAATATTTTTACTATTAAATAGTAGACACCTTTCTTTCTTTTTTACAATTTTTTTTGTACTTTTTTATTTTTTCTACTAACATTATTATTGTCTAATTTGAAATAAAATTATAAAATTCATTATTAAAAATTTTGGGGGACCTAAATCAAGGCTTTACTAGTCTCCTAGTAGAGCCACTTGTCCACCCCTGACATTCTCAATCAAATTTATAGAGTCTCTCTTAAAATAAGATAACAATGACAAGAACAATAATGGCAGTGAGTGTGTCATTAAGTTACCAAATGTGAATGAAGTTGGTTGAACAATACGTTCATCGTGGGGCGGGCCAACAAAACTGGTGGCCTAAACCCAAAATATATTAAAAAGACACTGAAACTTCTTTTATAAAATTCATATAATATTGAGATACAAAAAAAACCTACATGACTTTGATCTAGTGGTGAGAGCACAACTCATGATGTATGAGTTAAGCACACGTCATATGGTATTGAATTCTTCCCGTAAGTGAAAATGGCAAAGGGTGAGCCCATTATCCATCGTGTTTTGAAACTTGCGACATTTGTCTCGGAGATTTCTTAGTTAAAAAAGATGAAACACAAAAGAACTTGCTTTCCGGTGTGTGGATCAATCAAATGTAACAAAAAAGAAAAGTTAATTTAGAGAATTTGGGTTGAAATTAGGAAGTAAAATCGTGAGAACCATGAAAAAGACTATACATAAAGGAAGAAAAATAAAATTGATGAGAAGATAAATATATTATTTAATTTAATGAAAAAAATTTATCCAATTAACTCATTCAATCTTACGTCTACCAAATGTTAAAAATTATTAAAATTTAAAAATTTTATTAATAATTATATAAATATAAATATAAATTATGGATTATATGTTATACTCTATAATAATATAGTAGTGCTTTTTATTTTTGGGGCGTTAAATATTTGGGTGCGTAAGGCGCTTGCCTTACCCTAGACCTAGAGCCGCCCTTTATATAGCAGATCGAGAGGAAGCAGCTGTCTTACAAAAAAAAAAAATGGCGTGCACCGTGGATTTTCGGTGCCTGGACGAAGGGTTTGGAGGGAAAACATACAAGCGAAAGAGAGCAGAGAAAGAGTTAGGAAATGGTCTCGAAGATGGAGAAGCGGCCATGGAAGTAGAGGAGGAGAATCCAGCTCCAGCGTCGAAGAGACAGGCGGTTCCGTCTGAGGAGGATCCAAACAAGCCGGTACTGGGAAGGCCGACGTACGATGGGGTGATCGCAGGGAGAGTATCGGGAAGGAATTGGAAACAGCCGCGGAAACACAGATCATCGGCGGCGAAGGTGAGCGTGAAGGGGAAGACACTGGAGCAGAGGATAAAGGAGAAGGAGATAAAGAAGGCGTACAAGGAGAGGATGAATGAGCTCAAGGAAGAGATAAGGCAGAACAAGGTTGACAAGAGGAAGAAGAGGGAGGAAAGAGACAAGAGGAAGCAGGAAAACATTCTCAAGTCCGGGACTAAGGTTCAGAAGATCACCAATCCAAAGACGCTTAAAAAGATTGCAAAATCTAAGCAAAGGAAACAACTCAAGGTTGTTTCTGACGACCTTCTTAACAGTGGCAACAAGAATAAGAAGTCGACTTGATGATTTAAAATTGTATTCTTTTTGCTATAGGGGATATACTGATACTAGTAATCTAGTAGTTTTCATTTTGCTCCTTTTGAGTTCATCTATTGATTATGGTCTTTCCCATTCCAGTTTTTGTAGTTGCGGATTTAATCGTTCAGTTATGCTGTAGCATTATGATTATTTTCTGCTTTGCAGCTGAGTGCGTCAACGCCATGCTTTCCGTTGCATTCTCAGTTAATGTTATGTTTTTATGATAGAAAAACGGGTCCTTACCAAAAGAGCGAACAGAACATGCACTAAAATCCTCTATCCAATTTATACTGGAAATGAGATTTTAAAATCACAATTCACAGTTTAAGCAAGATGTTCCTAACGAAAGAAAATCAACAACGAAACCAAGTATTACTTGCAAAATCAACGTGTAATTTAAGAAAGGTAAGGACAGCTCAGAGTATGGTCTCCCTTCTTTGCTCATTCCTTTAGATCACTAGGTATATGCAAATTCCAGTCATATTTGGCGTGCACTTCCAATGGACGATGGTTAAAATGTTTGCAGTTCAGCTCTGAGTTCCCTGTGGTGGCTGTCACTGGTTTACACTCCAAGAGGAAGCTGCTTGAGGTGTTGAGCCCAAATCACTTGGTTCCTTCGTATTTGTGCATGTAAAAAAATTAATTACGTTCTACTCGAATAGATGCATCATATCAAGCCATTGGTTCATGCTTCAGATTTCACACAGACTAGATCATCCAGCTTATTGCCATCCATCTTGTACAAAGACACACCTTCCATCTGAATATAGTGATTTCGTGCTTCCTCCCTCAAGCTCTCAAAAGGCATGACTTCCCATCGATTGTAATTTGATGACTTCCTGATATCTGTCATATCTGCAGAACCAGATGTAGGCCCAGTGCCATAGGGACCTGATTTGCCCCATACTTTACAGTTAACAAATTGTCCCAATACGCCATCTTGCCCGGCTTGCTTCTTTTTCAGACGCAATGCAGCTCTGTGAGCGCTGTTTATCATTTCTCGACTAGGCACATCGGACCAGTCTTGCTTTCTCTTTGCTCGCATAGGAGAATGGATTCGTATGACCTAAAATATAAATTCTTAGTGAGAGCATCGAACAACAAATGAAGAAACTGATAGTTGAACTTAAGCTGAAGTAATCCGATGTCCTTACTCCAAGGCATTCTAAGAGTTGGTAATATGCTCTCCCTTGGAGTGGGTTGTGCCCTTTCCTTGGTGTAGAAAAGTATCGAGTCCTAGAAAACAAAGTTTTGCAATAACCACACAGAGATGACTTTTAATGGTCTTTAGATGTATGAAATGGCAGGGAAAAGTTAAGAAAGGGTAAAGTAGTTGGAATCTGTTGAATATTCCAGAAAGATCGCAATCTTTCAACATTGGGATAGAGTTGCAAAGAGAAAACTTGAACTGAGTATTTCAAATGTGTATATGTTTTGTAACTAACAAAGCTGAAATTACGAGGGAAAAGATGAGGAATAATAGAACATACCATTCTGTGTAACCAGGATCAACAGTGAANCAGAGGGAGGAAAGAGACAAGAGGAAGCAGGAAAACATTCTCAAGTCTGGGACTAAGGTTCAGAAGATCACCAATCCAAAGACTCTTAAAAAGATTGCAAAATCTAAGCAAAGGAAACAACTCAAGGTTGTTTCCGACGACCTTCTTAACAGTGGCAATAAGAATAAGAAGTCGACTTGATGCTTTAAAATTGTTTTCTTTTTGTTATGGGGGATATACTGATACTAGTAATCTAGTTTTCATCTATTGATTTTGGTCTTTCTCATTCGAGTTTTTGTAGTTGCGGATTTAATTGTTCAGTTATGCTGTAGCATTATGATTATTTTCTGCTTTGCTGTTGAGTGCGTCAATGCCATGCCTTACGTTGCATTCTCAGTTAATGTTATGTTATGATAGAAAAACGGGTCCTTACACAAATAACGAACAGAACATGCACTAAAATATTCTATCCAATTTATACTGGAAATGAGATTCTAAAATCACAATTCACAGTGCAACGATTTTAAGCAAGATGTTCCTAACTAAAGAAAATCAACAACGAAACAAAGTATTACTTGCAAAATCAACGTGTAATTTAAGAAAAGGTAAGGACAGCTCAGAGTATGGTCCCTTCTTTGCTCATTCCTTTAGATCATTAGGTATATGCAAATTTCAGTCATATTTGGCATGCACTTCCAATGGACGATGGTTAAAATGTTTGCAGTTCAGCTCTGAGTTCCCTGTGGTGGCTGTCACTAGCTTACACTCCAGGAGGAAGCTGCTTCAGGTGTTGAGCCCAAATCACTTGGTTCCTTCGTATTTGTGCATGTAAAAACATTAATTAGGTTCTACTCGAATAGATGCATCATATCAAGCCATTGGTTCATGCCTCAGATTTCACACAGACTAGATCATCCAGCTTATTGCCATCCATCTTATACAAAGACACACCTTCCATCTGAATATAGTGATTTCGTGCTTCCCCCCTCAAGCTCTCAAAAGGCATGACTTCCCATCGATTGTAATTTGATGACTTCCTGATATCTGTCATATCTTCAGAACCAGATGTAGGTCCAGTGCCATAGGGACCTGATTTGCCCCATACTTTACAGTTAACAAATTGTCCCAATACGCCCTCTTGCCCAGCTTGCTTCTTTTTCAGACGCAATGCAGCTCTGTGAGCGCTGTTTATCATTTCTCGACTAGGCACATCGGACCAGTCTTGCTTTCTCTTTGCTCGCATAGGAGAATGGATGCGTATGACCTAAAATATAAATTTTTAGTGAGAGCATTGAACAACAAATGAAGAAATTGAAAGTTGAACTGTAGCTGAAGTAATCCGATGTCCTTACTCCAAGGCATTCTAAGAGTTGGTAATATGCTCTCCCTTGGAGTGGGTTGTGCCCTTTCCTTGGTGTAGAAAAGTATCGAGTCCTAGAAAACAAAGTTTGTAATAACCACACAGAGATAACTTTTAATGGTCTTTAGATGTATGAAATGGCAGGGAAAAGTTAAGAAAGGGTAAAGTAGTTGGAATCCAAGTAGAGGTGTTGAATATTCCAGAAAGATGGCAATCTTTCACATCGGATAGAGATGCAAAAAGAAAACTTGAACGGAGTATTTCAAATGTGTATATGTTTTGTAACTAATAAAGCTGAAGTTACGAGGGAAAAGATGAGGAATAATAGAACATACCATTCTGTGTAACCAGGATCAACAGTGAAACCATAAATGTCAACAACGTCGCACATGGAAAGTGCTAGTTCTATTGATTTCATCCCAGTTCCTTTGGCACCTCTACGTAGTACGATACCTTGGAACAGATAGACTGGATTTCGGATTTTCTGTAATGAATAATGGAGGTCTGTCNCGGATTCCGGATTTTCTGTAATGAATAATGGAGGTCTGTCATTTTCTCAAATGAATTTGGTATCATAAAGCATCAGAACCCACGCCACCTTATGAAATCATATTCCACCATGCCATGAAATTGTAGTTGGGCTTCTTTTATAATCATAATCAAGCACACATCTTTACAAGTCGTTCATGGCCCAAAGAGGGTAAAAACCACTGCCTCAAAATGTTGAAAAAAAATAAACAAATCCCTTATGTTTTTAGCAATCGCATCATCATATGCCTCAAAATGTTGAAAATAAATAAACAAATCCCTTATGCTTTTAGCAATCGCATCATCAAAGACATTTTCAATCTCCAGTTCTACCCATTATAATGCAAAGCTATGCTGTTTTCTGAAGAAAATTACTTAGTAATCTATCCTGCAACCAAGTTCGACAATTTTCACCGACATCCCTTAGTAATTCCCCTCCCCCACTCTACCTCTGCTTCNAACAATTTTCATCCCACCGACATCCCTCGGTAATCCCCTCCCCTGCTCTACCTCTAATTCAGTTTTTCCCTTTTCTTTGGGGTGGGGGTGTGGTTTCAAGGTTTTATGCTCCAAAATGTTACTTATCCTAGACGTTAGTCACATCTTCCCCTTTGAGTTTGACAGCCTCCTTTGGTTTATCTTGATCTCAAAATTTCACCAATTTCTCATTGATTTCAGGCATCATTCGTTGTTTCATCATCCTTTACCAACACCAATATTCAGAATCCTAAAGAAATCTATATTTCACCACCTACAAAAATACAGCTTAGTTCCATCAGAGTTTCCTTAAAATGCCTCCAATTAGAGTGTTAGAGTAGGTGAAAATTAATAAAATGTTGCATGCATCAAGTATAAGAAGCCATGGTCAAAAGATGCAGAGCAAGGTGGTCGTCAGAAGGAAATTTCATTTCAATTTTAATTAGTACATGCAGTGGGTGAGAGCAAGTAGCCCATACTTGAGAAGATCCTGCCATTATGCAGATTCTTGTTCATATCAGTTCGGGGGCGGGGCATGATATGCATTCAATTTTTAAACAAGTAGCTACCTCATTTCTTTTTTCTTTATAAGTACATATGCACTCTTATCTGAGCTTGTAAATTCTTCAACAAGTTCCTGAAAAGGTATCAACTAAAAAGTCCTATTATGATCATTCACTGGTAGCACTAGATTGAATATGCAAATTGAGAACAACTAAAACTAACAATAACAACCTTAAGAAAAATAAGATGTAGAAACAAATAAGTAAAAGAATTCAACTGAAACATAGAAATAAAAAGAGACTAGCATTCATCTGAATCATATATTACCTTTATCATTGCATTGAAGTCTCTATGGATGACACTTTTAATTATAAGCACCTCATCGTCTGCAAGTAAAAAAGGAATCGCAACAAATAATGAGTAAAAGTTTCATGAGTATTGCTTCCTATATCACAAATCACATCCACATCATTGCTAACAATCACAAAAAGAGCAGTAAACAGTTAACTACTAAGTACTATATTTCAAATGCTCTTCATTAGAATAAGAAATGTAGCTGACCAACTAACATCAACAATACACTTAAACAACTGTAAAGGATAAGAATTACCCTTGACCCTATATCTAATGACAAATAACTGAATTGGAAGTAATTGAACATAAATAGCAAAGAGTTATTAACCAAAACATAATAGCCCTTCAAGCTACTGAAAGTCATTTTCAATCCCTTCAGCTATTTCGATATTCAGCTGACATTTTTTCATATACCTTTTGTCTGTCACAAAGCTATCAG